GGGGAGCGCGGGCCGCCGGGCCTGCGGCCTCTGCTCCGGGCCCGCGCTGGCCCCGCCGGCCTGTGGGCACCTGCCAGCCCTGGGCAAGTGGCCCCCCTACCCTCAGGCCTCCCAGATCGCGTCTCGCTCCTTGGTCAGGCAGCGGGCTGGAGCCCGTCTTGTCAACGTTTCAGGCAGTCTGGGACTTCGACACCCACACGAAGCTATGCTTTGCTTTGAAGGAATATTAAGAGATCAAGCTTATAAATTTGCCTTCCTGAAACAGAAAAATAATTTGTGTTCAGCTGAAATACTTGGACATCAAATCTTCGTGTGGGTACGTGCTAGTAGGATCAGACCATGGACGTCCCTGAGATGAGGGGACCGACTGCTTCCAACATCAGATGCCTTGCAATCGCTCTAGTTCTGGTTTACCAAAGGGATAAGAATTAATGTTAGAATAGCACTGACAAATACAAACCTGCTTATATAACCAGCGTCTACAGGCTGATTCTAAGGGATGATTAGAATCCACTAGAACTGAAACTAAAAAGGTAATGGTATGCATAGATAGGAACTGAGATGAATATCAGTTAAATGAAAAAATGTGCTGCATCTTAAGGGTGTATCAAAAAACTGATTTTTTAAAAAAGTTTCTTCCATATTTTATTGAAAAGAAACAGGTTTTCAAATAAAGTGTATTTTCATTCTAATTCATTTGAGAAAAAAAATCCTTTCCAGAACACTCCCTAGAACTGGTTTCCTCTAGGGCCTTCAAGGGGAATTCTAAGTCCTGGCTTTAAAATAAGAATCCGTAAATTTTTGCAAACCTGAGGTCTTAAGCTGCCAAGCTGACAGGTCTGTGTGAAGAAGCCCAGTGTCTCAGACACAGCTGCATCACCGAGCGTTGTCGCTGCTGAAACCTCTTGAACCCAAACTCATGGCCACATCCTTTCCTGAGCCACAAACCATAGACCCAGCAGCCCCCAGCCATCAGCTAGCCTGCAAAAATCTCGAGTTGAATGGCAGCGTGCCAGACCTGAGATGTTGCTGGTGAAACATTTCAACAAGCCAAATCTGTTTGCTCAGCAAAAGTAACTATTAGATAATATAGTCACAAAAATAATTAATTTATAATGTGATTGTCTTGTAAAACTAAGAATCCCAAAGCATTTGACAAACAGTGGATTAAGCATCCTCTTGAGACAGATAAAGAGATCACATTTTATACAGGAAAAATCAGACAATATGTGACAGCCACAGAAAAAGAAATTATGTCCTTCACTTCTAGTGATTTAAATATTCTTATTTGAAAGAAGGAATTGTTTCTACAGCATGATTTTACACTAGTAATCCTTTTTTTCTGTCTTCTTTTTCAGATACCGGTAGCATGTTATTGAAACATTTCATTGTCCTAGCAACATCACTCAAATAAGAACTGAAAAGGAACAGCTAGTGGTTATGTGACTGCATTTTTGCTAGCTGTTGGGGAGATTTTTGTCCTTTATAATCTGTATAATTGTGAAGTTCCCTGCACAGAAGGAAATACAATAGTAAAAATATATTTAAATTTTTACTAAAATGCTAATACTTGTATTTGTGTTTGTTCTTGGTTTTGTGGTCCATGAGAATCTAACAATGCAGAGCTAAGAGAAGCTGCATAATTTATTTTTTTTTTTTGTCAGATTTTGCCAAAAGATAGATCCAAAGCCTGTGTAGTGATGCTTCTGGTACTTGCATAATTCTAAGGCTTGCACTGGTTGTCAACTGTCAGTTGCTGCCTTTTTTTGCAAATAATGAAAATGTTTAATTTTCTAACATTATCATGGGGGAACTTATTTTCCTTTGTGACACATTCTATTTTAATTTTGAAAACGTACTTGAAGTCTGTCCTGTTGTTTCAATGGCTGAATCCATCTTCCTCTGCTCCTATTGTGCTCCATCTGATTTGGTGTAATTCCATGTAAATTGACGTGAGCCATTACCTTCCATGTAATGCGCGTGCATTTTCAGGAGGATTTTATCCCTTAAACAGCCAAGTTAGATATTTTGTAAAACTGTACAAACTACACTGTATTTCTTTCTTTCTCCAATGCCTTCTTCCTTTCTCATTCGCTGCTTGCTCCTATTTTCATGGTTAAAGCCCTCTATTATTGGTATAATGTCACGTCATGGTTTGAGTTTTCCTTTGCATTCTGAATGACAGCCCACAGCATTAAATAACATTTGTCTGTCAGAGCAATATGAAACAGCATACAGACTGAAAAAAAATACAAAACCAA